AAGGAAAGCAATGACTTTATTGTGAAAAATATAAACAAAAATTTAGAGATGTAAATTACATGCATGTTTTAATCTTGTTCATAAACACTGAAAGTTTTAAAAATGTAAATATAATCAAAGTGTACAACTGCAGCTGAAACCATATTTGAGAAGGACTTTGAGAAAGAAAGCAGGTAAAAAGCCCTCCAATCTCCCTAACTCTCATGCTTAACTCACTCCAACCCTACATACCCACCCCAACCTTTGTAGATTTGGAAAAGGTGAAGTAGAATTCTGTCCTCCAGTTTCTGAGGGCACAAATCCTTATCTCTGATGTGTTAATGTCACAGAAGAAATAGTTGTATTAACCCTTTTTCTCCACTTCCTCTCCTGTCTCTCCCACTTTTGGTTTATCCATGTGATGTTTGAGGTTAATGAGTAAGATCCAGAGTGACTAAGTACTGGATAATTTGCAGCATGGGAAGAGAGGAGGAAATTTACCTGACTACTGTCCAGATTCTTTCATTTCTATACAGTAAGCATGATGGTGACCTCAAATTGAGCCAGTTCTGAAGGTTGAGCTTGGAGAGATTGCATGAGGTAGTAAAATTCACTAAACTGGTGTTGAACAGATGTGTGTAGGTTCTACCCTGACTGTCCCTTGCTGCCAAAAATGATTTTGGGCAAGACTCTCTACTTCTGTGGGTCACAGTTTCTTCATCTGTTGAAGTCATCCAATTGGGTAAAATGAGCACTAAGGTTCCTTCCATTTCAAACTGTCTACAATATCGTGCCTCATGGATCCACTCCAATCCACATAGGATCTGGGAAATTCAAACCCAATGTGGTGCCTTCCTTTGGGACCCCCCCGGAGTCAGAGATGTTCCAGAAAAAGCCCCAAGTGTTCCTCGCCAAAGCCCCTCCAACACTGTAATTTAAAGCTAGGACTCCCTGAGACTGTTGTTGGAAGGCCTTTGTCCTGGCCTCATTCCTGGCACCTTCTCAGCTGGGTGAGGGCCCTCCCAGGAAGGAAGGACGTGATGTTTGGCCAGACCCTCAGAGCTCACAGTTGGAGTTCCCATTGAGATGACCGAATGTAATAATCCTACGTTCTTCATCTACATTGACAAGGGAAGTATTTAACAAGGCTTCTATACTGTTTCCCTCTCCGGGTGTTCTATTTTTAGAGAAGGGTAGTGGAAATTTATAGGATTATGAGGTGAGGTACTAAGGGGAACCTGTCATCGATATAAATCACTTCAAATGAAATTAAAGTGTGGTATTCAGGGTAAGCTTAACTTTAAGGAACCAAACATGTAAACAGTTTTTGTAATAAGTTGTGTGCCTCAGTGAGTCCACCAGGAGAGTGTAAAGTCACATTTTCCTTGGCTGTTTGTTTTTAAGGTGGAAAATAGCAAATACATTGACAATTTAGGGTTGGAATTTGGAAGTGGGATAAGAGGAATGGTTGATGGGTCTGAAGATACATTTTCCAATTCATCGATTCTTTCTCAGCTGAACTCCAAAGGAGATCATTGTTCAAAGGACCGTTGAGGCCTTCATGATGGTTGCCTCTGGCTGCCCTGGAAAGAACATAGGGTTTAGGTCTGTTCCAAAAGGAATTCTCTGATCTAATTTGACTGAAGTGTCAGGATGGTGACATTTCCAGAGCAGTCCTGGGATAAGGCACTGGAAATGGAAGTTGTGGGGTATAGTCAATGTGTTTTGCCAGAAGAGAACTTTTGGGAAAACAGAAGAAGGGATGAATATAGGAAAGAAGAATGAGATATTAGTGAAAGCATTGGGTCTTCTAATCTTATCTTGATATTTAACACTGCTTTTACAGGGATAGACATATATATTATGTTAATGCACTGTTAGCACAGTAGTTGTGCTTTACACATTTTGTTATTGATCTTTTAATGATGCGACTAGAAAGGAACCATTTATACAAAGATAGTTTTCCTATCTTAACTAAAATAGTGTTCCTATTTTAACTAAAACTTAGCAAATAATTTGTAAAGAAATAAATATCACCTAAAAGTTCTCAAACTGTTGGATTAAAGTCCTAAATGTAAAAACTAAAACTGTAAAACTCTTGGAAGAACACATGGGGAAATCTTCATAACCTTGGATTTGGCTTTGGTTTCTTAGAAATAACCTCAACAGCAAAGTAAAAAAGAAAAAGGTAAATTGGACTTCATCAAAATTAAAAATTTTGTGTATCCATGAACACTATGAAGAGAGTGAAAATACAACCCACAGAATGGGTGAAAATATATGCAAATCTTGTATCTGATAAGAGTCTTTATCCAAAATATATCAAGAACTCTACAACCAAACAATAAAAAATCAAACAACCCAATGAAAAACTGGGAAAAAGACATTTCTCCAAAGAAACATAAGTGGCCAACATTCACATGAAAATGCTCAACCTCTTTAATCCTTAGGAAAATACATATTAAAACATCAGTAAGTTACCAGTTCAACCCAGTAGAATGGCTATTATCCAAAACAAAACAAAACCAGAAAATGACAAGTGTTTGGTGAAGTTGTGGAAAAATTAGAACCTTCATACATTGCTGGTAGGAATGTAAAATGCCATTATGGAAAACCTTGTGGCAGTTCCTCAAAAAGCTAAGCATAGAATTGCAATATGACCCACCGATTAGACTCCTATGTCTATAACCCAAAAGAAGTGAAAACAGGTATTCAAACAAAAGCTTGTACACAGATATTTATAGAAGTGCTATCACAATAGTCAAAGTGGAAAAATCAAAATGTCCATCAGCTGAAGAATAGATAAATTGAATGTGATAATATTCAAATACAATGGAATATTATTTAGCCACAAAAAGGAGTGAAGTACTGACATAAGCTACATCATACGTGAACCTTGAAAACATTATTTTAAGTGAAACAAACCAGCCAGACACAAAAGGGCACATAATGTATAATTCATTTATATGAAATATCTAGAATAGAAAAATCCATAGTGATAGAAAGTAAAAAGATTAGTGGTTACCAGTGGCTGGGGAGAGGGGGGAATGAAGAGTTCCTGCTTAAGGGGCATGGGGTCTCTATTCAGGGTGACAGAAATGTTCTAGAATTAGATGTGACATTATAAATGCATTTAAGGCCAGTAAAGGCCTTATATACTTAAAATGGTTAAAGGCCATATATACTTAAAATGGTTAAAATCACTTATTTTATGTGTATTTTACCTTACCACAATTTAAAAAAAAAAAGTTTGCAAGCTATAGAAAACTCCTAGAAACCATGCTGATGAGATACCTTTGAGAAACACGTGAGCTCAGGTTTGGGAATGGATATATTTCCAGCACAGCCTTTGGGATTGGGGAAAGCTTCTGTACACAGCTGAGGATTGGGAGTCCTGTTTCCTGATCCAGGCCCTGCTGTTCTGTGGCCTGAGGGCAAGTCACGTAAACCTTTTGTGCCTCAGTTGGGAGCCTTGGACAAACCATCTATATCTGAGTAGGAAAAATCTCAATCATGTATAGGACCTTTTCAAGCCTCACATACTTTCATTCACCCATGCTCCTTACCTAGTGTGAAGTGTGGGATATTTCTGATAAAATACTCCACCACTAGGAAGAGAAAGTGGGGGGCATACATGGAGGTCTGGGGTTTGAAGGTACACTTTTTGGTAGAACCTTTGTAATATTGGAAAGTCCTCGAGTGGGTTGTGGTAAGCGTTCCCATCCCCAGGAACGGCAAGAAGTAGATGGATTCGTGCCTTCCTGACAGATCCCCATTCACTGCAGATGCCTAAGGCTGTATGAAGTGCGTGCTGAAGGACTCAGAGCCCCCAGGCGGGTGGAGTGCGTGCCCTGGAGGGAGGAGAGCTCTTTCTAGGGTCTGTGCATGGGTTACCATCCTGGTGAGCGCCCTGGAGAAGAGGCAAATGCTGCGTGGCTGAATGTTCCAGGGCCAGGGTGCTACTCTGAGGAAGTCACGGCTGACACCTGCCCTCTGAAGGATGACTTGGAACAAACAAGGAAAACCAGCAATGTGAAAGTCAGCGTTCGTCGGGGAAAGAGAACTGTGAGAAGGAAAGAGAGAACAGAGGAGTCTTGGGAAAGACATCGTGAAGAAAGCCTCATTCTGGGAGGTCATGCCGAGTGCTGGTCAATGTCATCGAATCGAAGGCCAGAGAAGTGTCTCACTGAGACCACAGCTGGCACTTCTACCAGCAAACGCTGCTTTCACGTCCCCACAAAACCACCTCCTATGCTCTGGGAGTATGTTACCAGTAGTAACCCCACAGCATCTCTGAAACTTAGAATGGTCCCCAGAGTCGGCTGTGACCTGATGTCCCCATTCCTTGGAGCCTGAACCGTGTCTTCAGCTCAGGGCAGTGTGGGTGACGTGACAGCCAGCCTGCCCTTGCAGGATGTGTCTCCTTTTGGTCTTTCAGGTTGCAGCCCATCACCCTGGAAATCTAGGCTCTGGGAGTGATACAACTACCAGAGTTGTGCTTGTGTTTGGCAGGGCCCTTGCATGTATCCAGTGGGTGGGCTAGATGCACCTTTGCAGCAGAAGCCACCTTTCCTTCCACACGTTGATGGAGCCCCAGGTGCACGGAGCACACACCTGCCCTAACCCTGACCCTAACCCTGACCCTGACCCTAACCCTGACCCTGACCCTGACCCTAACCCTAACCCTAACCCTAACCCTAACCCTAACCTGCCAGGTGTGTGCTGTGGTCCTGAGGAGCCTGCCCTGCTCAGAGTTGACCAGGGTGGGGGGTCCAATGCTGCAACTCTGGGGCGTGTGCGATGCTCTGGCCACCCTGTCCGTGGTGCAGCAGTTGGGGAAGGGGGTGGTCTCAGCCGTGATGGGTGCTGTCCCATTAAGGAAAAGAGCTCATCTGTAAGTCCCCTGTGAGGCGTGGCACCCTGTCCAAACTCTATTCAGTTTGGAGGCTTACGTGCCATCTTTTCATTGTAACCATAAGACTGTTCTATCAGGCTTAATGTTTTTTACCCTTTGCTTGCAGGAGAGTCGATCTGGAGAAACCAACAGCTGTGTTGAAGAAATCATTCGGGTAAGGATATTCTTTTAAAATTTTTACCAGTTGGTTGATGTAGGTTTTAAACAGAGGGAGGTGTGCAGCTAGAGTGTCAGAGTGAGCCCATTGTTCGTGTATTGTTTGATCTTTACCCTTTCAGAGGGTAATCACCCAAGTTGCCTAAATAAGACTTTACAAAACCATGCTTCCTTTAGAAACCTAGGAGCTCCACCTCCATCTGGCCCCTTTGCACAGGCTGAGGTGACGCTGTGTGAAGGGGATCAGCTGGAAGATAGAGCAGCAGAGTTGAGATGAAAAATATGGCCGTGTTCACATTTGGGTGCCCCCATTCATCTCCCTACTATTTAAAAGCATCTTTTAATAGTCCATGCTTCCCAGTCAGGCAGGGGTTGCCTGGTTATTTTTCTCCCAAACTTAATTAGAATCAGAAGCACTCTGACAAAGAGGTAATGCTCAGTGCTGAAGATTTATTTCTATATTGTTACGCACGTTATTATTTCGCCTGGTCCTCTCTGTAAGCCTGTCCTTTTCATCATCATCATCTCACACGCACACCTTCTGTGAACTAGTTTCACGCACAGGTTTTCTTAGGCTGGGCTGTTCTGCCATGTTAGTGTTCTCCTGAGTATTCAGACTTATAACCAGGATGTCCTCTTCAACCTATATTTTTTCTTCACTCAGATTTTTTCATTGGAATAACCTAATAATTTATGACTCTCAGAAAGCTGATATTACACTGGGCAAAACACCAGGATAAAGCAGACCAGATGGTGTGGCAATTCCCTATAAAGAAAAAATAACTTTATTTTAATATATTTTTAATGTTTGGACACCTTACATATTTTTTCTTGAATTGCTTGTGAACTACAATAATACAGTTATTTGGTTTAAAATTTTACATTGACTGTCAAATCATTTTCAGAGGTAGAATATTTTTATTCTTCCTGGAAAGCATTATTTCACAAATCTCTTCACTGTAGAATTGATGAAAATAATTAATTGAAATTTGGTTTGTTGAATTTGTAATGATTTTTGTTTTTGTGGCACAGGTTTATAGAGAAAACAGTTGTCAGAAAAGTGTGGTAGCTTCATTCCTGGCATTTAAGTATATGCTGAATAAAATGCACATTGTATTTTATATCTAAATTCTCTTTCCTGAGGCCTTGTTTCAGACTAAATGCAAATAGTGTAAAATGCTAATGTACTTGTCCTATTTTTCTCTTTCAACATACTTTCATGTTCTGGGTCCCAGTATTCAGTGTTGAAGCCATCTTCCTTCAATTGGTTTTGGCGTCTGTCTGAAAAATGAGAAGATCACAACATACCAGTCCTCTTATTGGTTTCACTGTGTTAAAAATCCTGCCCCTTCTGATCCTTTCTTGTCTTTTCTGAGGATATGGAAGAGCTCTGTCATTTGACCTGTCTGTTCTACACTCCAGGCAAGGCTTGTTCATAAAGAGCTTGAGTAGTTCTCATACCAGAAGGATATATGTTAGATAATGCAAAAATCACTTAAAACTGGATACTGCAGTCAAGTGTTTAAACCATCATTTGTTTTTTTCTTAAGAGGGCTGATTTGAGGTTCACAGCCTCGCCTCACTCCTGCCTCCCTACAATACTGACCCCTAACCCATCATACCATGGGTGCCTCATCAGGTGTGGAACTGATTCCCTTCGCTATAAATCATGGACAAGATGCATTGGATGGGACTTGCCTGGTGGTCCAGTGGTTAAGACTCTGAGCTTCCAAAGCAGGGGGCGTGGGTTCCATCCCTGGTCAGGGAACTAAGATTCCACATGCTGTATGCCTCCCCCCTTAAAAAAAGAGGTGTGTTGGCCTTTTTAATGCTGGGTTACTATGGACTGTCTTTGTGGAGCTCAGTTTTCCTTACTAGGTTCTCTCCCCTTGGGATCAACTCAGGCAAATCTGATGTCATCAAGATCACCAGAGGTAATTATAATTTGCAGGCATCTCATTCTGAAAGCAGTGGCTTCTCTTTTTGTGGAGGAAGAGGAGGGTCATTAAAAATGCCTTAAAATAATTAAAATTGAGATAGTCATTGAACAAGCGTTAGCATATCCTTTCCATATGGGAGGTACCGGGAATCAGTGGTGGGTTTCAGACAGATGTGACCCTGGCCCTTTTGGAAGCAACAGTGTGCTGGAAGAGATAGATGCTACATTATTTTTTAAATCTCATAAATAACCTGTCCTGCTATTTGTGATAAATACTCAGGGTTTCCTGAACATTTTCTCTAGCATTTATTACCTAATTTGTGATCAAGAATAGTGTTCCTGAGGAAGCAACCTGTGAGCTGAGAGTTGGAGGATGAATAGGAAAGCAACCTAAAGAAAATGGTGGGGCTTCCCATCAGGAGGAGCGAAGAGCTCGGCTTGTCGGGGACCTGGGAAGGAAAGAGGAGGCCTGTGCAGCCAGAGGGCGGATGGGAGAAGCCGGGCAGGAGAGGCCAGTCATTCGGCACCTTCTCGGCCACACTCGGGAACCTCTAAGCACCAGGGAGCCGGTGAAGGATCAGAGCTGGGAGGGATGCGATCAGACTGGCTGTCATGGGGAGGAGGGGGAGGCTGTTGCAGGTCCCAGGGCAGGGATGCTGGGTAGAGACCTGTGAGGATGGAGGGAGAGGCTGATGCTGTTACCAAAAGAGTGGTTACTGAAAGCCAATAAACAGGCCAGGTTGGTGGAGAGGAACGTTTGCTTTATTTTAGATGTTGGCAACTGGCAGAGGAGGGCTGCCATCTGTACAAAGGCAAGAGCTTTTATAGACAGAAGTGGGGGGGGGGGCGGTACATGCAGAAACACAGCACAGTCAGCTCTGACAGTCATCTTTAAATTGGTCATTGGTGGTCTGACCAGCGTCATCTTGGTTGTTTTAGGTACAGTTAATCTTCAGTTCTACGATTGGTTTGTCCCCATTTCTTTGAGGCCAGTTCTCAGAATTGTGTCAGCTAATGTAATGTCATGGGTATAGTCCGGTCATTATGTAGTTAGCTTCTTCTACCTGGGGTTTCAGTATATATAAGACAGCTCAGAGGATATGGCTCAGAATATTAGCTATTCTTCTACCTGGGGTTTCAGTATCTATAAGACAGCTCAGAGGATGTGGCTCAGAATATTATCTATAGCCCTTGAGAAGGAGCTAAAAGTCCTTGGCTGTGCTTAATAACTACATTATTGTTATTTGGTCTCCTTTGTTTTTTCTCTGCATTTCTCATTTCTCTGATTAAGCTTATTCTCTGACTAAAGTTTTCCACAGGCAAGAGGCAAGCAGAGGACGGTGGTGGGGAGGGAGGGGGAAGGACCATAGGGTCCTGCCCTGTTTAAGTGTTGGGCAAGAAGAGGGAGTGCATCACACGATCATTTTCAGATATCCTGAGTTTAAGGTGCCTTGTGATATTCAGGTAGATGTGGAGAATGTGCATAAGCTCAGAACAGAGGTCTGAAAGGCAGGCCAACATTTTGGATGAATTAGCACATTGGTTGTAAAACTACAGAAGTGGGTCCATTTGCCTGGAGAGGAACTACAGGCTGAGAAGCAATGAGAACCTAAAGTCTACCATTTCAAGGCCAGGCAAGGGATCAGCCACTGGCAAATGCATGTGAGAGGGAGTCAGCAGAGAACCTTAGGAAAAATCGTGACTGAAAAGTCACAGAGTTGAAGCCAAGAGAATTTCCATTTAACTGGGCTCAGAATTTCCCAGAGGAGAAGAGAGAGGAGGGTGGAAGACCACCCAAAGGATTGGAAAGAAAGGTCATGGGTGACCTTATGGAGTGCTGTTTCTTTTTTCTTTTTTAATTTATTTTTATTTATTTATTTTTTGGTCACACCATGCCGCCTGCTGGATCTTAGTTCCCCGACCAGGAACTGAACCTGTGCCCCCTGCATTGGAAGCTTGGAGTCAACCACTGGACTGCTGGGGACATCCCCCGGGGAGTGCTGTTTCTGTGGGGGAGAGAGGGCAGAGTCCAGACTGGAGAAAACGGGTGGGGTCCCTGAGTTTAGAAACTGCTCATGAAGAGAGGCCTTGGTTTCCATTCATGCTCTTCATTTGCACTAAATTCTATGTGAGTGTGTGTTCAGTTGCTCAGTCATGTCCTACTCTTTTGTGACCCCATGGACTGTAGCCTTCCAGGCTCCTCTGTCCCTGGGATTCTCCAGGCAAGAATGCTGGAGTGGGTTGTCATGCTCTCCTCCAGGGGATCTTCCCAACCCAGGGATCAAACCTGCATCTCTTGCGTCTCCTGCCTTGGCAGGTGGATTCTTTACCACTAGTGCCACCTAGGAAGCCCAAATTCTATAAAGACCACCACCAAGGACGGGCTGACATTTATTGGAGAAGGAAATAGCAACCCACTCCAGTACTCTTGCCTGGAAAATCCCATGAACGGAGGAGCCCGGTAGGCTGCAGTCCATGGGGTCGCAGAGTCAGACATGCCTGAGCGACTTCACTTTCTTTCACTGTGTCTGAGACATCTTCTAAGGTTCTTGCCTATGTTTTCTCATCGGGCCATCACAGCTGCCTTCTGTGTAGTTGGGAACTATTATCATCCCCATTTTACAGAGGAAGAAACTGAGGCAGAGGGAGGTTAAACACAGCTGCCATGCAGTAGAGCTGGGGTTTTTGACCAGCTCTGNGGTTATTTAGAGCCATCCTTCATAACATAGGGAGCTTTTGTAATAAGAGACCAGTGTTCGAGATCTGGTTTGGATATAAAGGATGGGTTTACAGACAGTTTCAGGGCACTGTCTGAGCAGATTATCTTCTTGGCTTTCATCTTTAGTCACTAATTTAATTCCAATTTCCTGTGAAATATTCATGGTGGATATGTACACAGAGTTGCCTTTCTGCTGTATGAAGTGGGTAACTGGGACTTGTTTAAATTCTGGAGACCTATACCAATTTCCTGACACTGTGAGTGGCCAGGTGTCCAGCAAATAGAGGGAACTCAATTTCCTTGGTTTTGTAGAAACTAAGGAGCCTCCTTGACAAGACTT